CCCCCCCCCCCCCCCCCCCCACACACACACACACACACACTAGTGTCTCAGGTTTTGAAGGTCTTCCACAGCTTACAAAATGCTATCATTTCAGATGAAGGTATAGAAATTGAGTGGCATAGTGTGAACCCTGTACTTGAAGTGTTTTGAAAGACTTTTTAAGTCTAAGAACTAGCTAGCCATTCTTCAGTAGGATGTTAGCATTCATTCAGGGGTTGTTTGCCACCTACACAGGAAAAGCATAGATGCATCTGTGTCTGGGATAAATGCAAATAAAATGCTTCTACTTGTGGTTCTGGGTTACTGCCTGCCAGGGATACTGCTGTAAGAGGTAATCCTGGGAGCCACCTGGCAAGGTACAGACACTGAGCACAATCTTCCAGCCACAGGCAAGAAGCATTACATCTTAAGTTAAGCCTTACAAATCAGAGCATTTTGTTATGTATTGTTTGGCTGATCTGGAGTTACAGGTGTTTGCTGAGGTGTCTCTCCTAGTATCATGGTTATCAAAGTGATACCAGTGATCACTGTTAGATCAGTTAGTGTTGTAAGGCGGGATTTCTGTGTGCAAAGGGTATCTTCTCTTTGTGCTGTATCAGACATGTCAGAGAGTCCTACATGCTCCTAGATCAACTCAGTTTATCACACCCATCTTAAATTCTCTTCTGCCTCTGTCTTCTAAAACCATTCTTTATCTTTGATCTTTGATCTGTATACAGAAATGTATACAGCTTTCTAAGGATCATTTACTGTTTTAGTAAAATTGCATTTTTCTCAGGAAAGATTATAGCAAGCCATGCAATATAGATCATGCATGTTTGAAAATTAATATGTACAGTGTAACTTTATCACCACTCTGTCCTTTAAGGTCTGCATTGAGTGCCTGGTGTGCAGAGAGCCATGAAAGGTCAATATGGTCAGGTGGTTTCAGGCACAAAATGTGTAGGGCTCTCCTGTCATGACACTAGGGGGAAGGGGGCTTCTCTCAGGAGGCCTTACACCCACACTCTACCTTTGGAGTTTTAATAGGTTTAAAACTATTAATAGTTTAATAGGTTTTCTGTTCTGAGCCTTGGGAACTGTCCAAAAATACCAAGAACCCCACAAGAGCCATGATGGGAACTTTGAAAATGAAATTTTTACACGCTGTTAATTTTAGTGACTTTTTAAAGGCGATGAATTTCCAAGGGAGGCTGAAGTATCTCCATGGACAGAACAAGAAAGGAAAGGATGGAACACTACTGCCCCCACAGTTGGCTTTGTTTGCAATAGCGACCCCACTTCAGCCACCGTCCATACTGGAAATTCGAACCAAAAACTTCATCTTCAGGACCAAACACAAACTAGACTTCACACCTATTGGTTGTGATGCCAAGTAAGGGAAACTTTTTCACTCTTATTTCATTAAATGTGTGGTTTTTTTTTAGCAATTCTCTTATTGTTTGGCGAGATATTTGGCTTAGGTTCTACAATATTATTTGCTACTATGTTAGCAATTGTTTATTTTTTTCAGTATAGTCTACTAAAATAAGGTAATTCCATCAATCTGACAAATAATATTATTTAGCATACTTGTAAGAGTATTTTTAGAACATTGGTTTATTTTATATTTTGTAAAAGTGTTATTTAATTTTCAGCTCTAGAAATTAGATAACTATCTAAAGTTACTTAGTTAACTACCAGGAATTTATATCAAAGCATTTTAATTTTTTTTCTCCTTCCATTGGGAGATTGCAGCGAAGTGACTTAGACTCTGTCTCTGAGCTCAGTGTGAGCACTCCATGTTTTTAGTTTTAGAATTTGTTTTGCTTTTATAGTTAACTCTGTCTGCTTCATTTTTAACATCCTAATTTTAATGGTCTTATTCAAAAGAAGGAAATAGGCTAAAACTGAAAATTCATAAGCTGAAGTAAGAAAGTAAAAAAAAAAAAATCAAAATTAAAGCAATGTTTTCTGTGTGCTAATGTGAAAGCTTTAATGTCAGCTACAGTGTTGGAAGAAATAATGTCCACCCAGTGAAGGTACCCTGATTCTCTGACAATGTGATGCTGTTTTTAAACAGAGGGCAGCTTGTTCTGGGCTACACAGAAGTAGAGCTTTGCACCCGAGGCTCTGGGTACCAGTTTATCCATGCCGCTGACATGCTGTACTGCGCAGAGTCCCACGTCCGCAGTGAGTTGAAGTTCTTATGGCCTGCCTGCCAATGGCTAAAACATGGACTGATTCCTGTGTGTGTGCTTGAGCTGGTCAGAGACAACTTGCAGAGGCAGTTCTCTCCCACTTTGTGGATCCCTGAGACCAACCTCAAATAGTCAGTCTTGGTGGCAAGCACCTTTCCCCTCTGAGGCATGTCCCTAGTCCTGTGATATGCATTTCAAATTGTTATGTATGATAATGTCCTCATAGAAATATTTGGATTAATCCTGAGTGACATCCTGTCACTTTGGTTAGCCATCTTTACTTTTTATTTCCTAAATCTTCTACAGCTGCCATGCAGTAACGTAGTGGTATAATGATTTTGAAAATAACATTTTGGCCAATGAAGTTTTGTTCAGAGGATCTTTAGTGGCATCCTTGACTCACACACGTATGTGAATAAAAAGTCAGGAAATACTAAATATATTGCTCATTCAATATGAAAAGTTTTAATCTTTACTGTTCTCACATGTTACCAAAGCTGTCTGGCGTCTTCTTGATACTACTCTTTACATTTTCCATGCTAAGCTCCATCTAAAATGGGAAAGCACCATCTCTGAAGAAATGTTTCCTTGCCTTTGCTGTATTTAAAAGTTTTCAAGATATTATCATACTTGTGGATTAATGAAATGTGTCAGAATGGCTTTCCTAAAATTTTGTTTTATGTTTCAATTGTGTACGTGTATTTGTCTGTGTGCAAGTATGTGCACATGGGTGCAGGTGAACTTAGATTCCATAAGAGTGTTTCTGATACCAGGGACTGGTTGTAGGAGGTTGTGAGACACCATTGTGGCTCCTGGGGAACAAACTCAAGTCCTCTACAAGAGCAGCAAGTGCCTTCAACCAATGAGCCATCTCTTTAGGTCTGTAGAGGGGCTTTGTTGAAGGGATTTTTTTTACTGTGTTAACCTTGTCTTAAACGTTTATTTTTAGTGATTAAGACGGGAGAAAGTGGTATGACAGTTTTCAGGCTTCTGGCAAAACACAGTCGATGGAGGTGGGTCCAGTCCAATGCACGCTTGATTTATAGAAATGGAAGACCAGATTACATCATCGCAACTCAGAGGCCACTAACGTAAGCTTACAGAAAGAACATGTCCTGGTTTTGTGTTTTTATATATCTTCTTACACTTAAAAACAGTCTTAAGGTAATTGAAATTATAACTAAAAAATTAAAATGTTAAAAGAATATATCTAGAATGAGCGGGGCAAAGGTGAGCCATATTCAAAAGATGTAAGTGGCAAGCTTCCTTGAACAGCTAAGTGGATAAAGCTAAAAAAAAAATCCTACTCATCTTCCAATTTAAGTGGAGATGAAAAGCCCATGGCATCTTTAAAATTAAAGAAAAACCTAAAAGTGCTGAGGTGTGTGTCCAGTGATTTGGAAGTTTCTCACACATTCCAAAAAGGCATCTTTTATGAAATATTTACTCTGCAAGGGCTTCTTTCACGATGAGAATTGCTTTTCTGTTGTAGCCGGAGGTAGGAATCCTGACTGACTTTCTCCATTTTGAACATCAAATGATCAGTAGAATTTATTAAAGAGACAAACTCTTGAAGAACCATCTTACCCCACTGCACTAGAGTGTTCTGTTATCCTGTTTCTAGAGTTGCTGGCCTAGTCCCTTTGTCTGTCCATTTCTTGTACTGTCTTTATTAGCAGTTTTGATTTGTGAATGCATGTCTTTATTTTGTTTTTGTATAAATTTTGTTCTTATTAGTGATTGTTTTGGCTTTTCTTTACCCTTTATGTTTCCAAATGCACTTTAGAATTCATTATAAATTCCCAATAATAACAACAAAACTGATAGGATTTTGAAAACATAGCTCTTTGGGGGAAAATTATCATCTGTACAAAACTAAGTCATCAACACATGGCCATAGTGAGTGTTTATATTAGCCATAAGAGTACATGGATGTGCGCTTCCCAAACCCACTGTGATACAGCAGCGGGTCTCTGCCCTCATTAGGCTCTTCCATGCTTATACATTTCATTTATTGATTTTGTTATTGTCCATTTGTTTTCTATTCCATTTGTGTCTCCTAGTTATTATTTTATTTATAATTTTTCAGTATTTATATATTTCCTTGTATAGTTTTAGCTATATTTGGATAACATTAGTCACAATAATAATTTGGTTCAAAAGAAAATCCATGTTCTGTGCAATCAAGCTCAGCTCTAGTACATTTTACTTATTTTTTTCTCCATTTAAAAACATCTTACTTAAAACATGTATGAAAAACTTCTAACATATGCAGACTTTCTTGCCCACCCTGTCAGGGATGAAGAAGGAAGAGAGCATTTGCAGAAGCGAAGCATGACGCTGCCGTTCATGTTTGCTACTGGAGAGGCTGTATTGTATGAGATCTCCAGCCCTTTCCCGCCCATAATGGATCCCTTGCCAGTGCGCACCAAAAGCAGCACCAGTGCAAAGGACTGGGTTCCGCAGTCAACACCAAGTAAGGATTCTCTCCACCCCAGCTCCCTTATGAACTGCATAATCCAACAGGATGAGTCCATCTATCTCTGTCCTCCTTCAAGCGCTGCACCACTAGACAGCCATTTTCTCACCAGCTCTGTGAGTGAAGGCAGTGGTTGGCAAGACAGCATTGCACCAATAGGAAGTGATGCTATGTTGAAGCATCAACAAATTGGACATGCTCAGGACATGAACCCTGCACTCTCTGGAGGCCCCCCGGGGCTCTTTCCAGATAATAAAAATAATGACTTGTACAGCATCATGAGAAACCTAGGGATTGATTTTGATGATATCAAACGCATGCAGAGTGAGGAGTTCTTCAGGACTGAGTTGTCGGACGACGTTGACTTCAGAGACATCGACATAACAGATGAAATCCTGACATATGTGCAAGATTCTCTAAACAAGTCAACCTTGCTGAATTCTGCTAGCCAGCAACAGCCTGTGACTCAGCACCTAAGCTGCATGCTGCAGGAACGCCTGCATCTAGAACAGCAGCAGCAGCAGCCG